TGGTGCTGACAACATCAAGTCAAGGGTTAAGATCCCCTTACCGGTCACCTTTAAAAAAAAAATTAAGTTCACATGTTGTCCACTTTTTTTAGTGTGGCTGCCAAAAAATTTCAGATTATAAAGGTGACTTGTACGATATCTCTTTTCTTTTTATTTATTTATTTATTTTGTGGTACGGGGATCCGAACCTGTGACCTTGGTGTTATTAAGCTGAGCTCTAACCAACTGCGCTCCCCTGCCAGCCCTTATATTTCTATTGCATGGTGCTGGTACATACTGATGGGCGTGGATTCCTCCCTGGAGTCCACAGGACAGAAGCAGACACCTGGGCCAGGAGCCCTGGTTAGCATCTGACCTGCTCCTTGCTGTTACCTCCGCGCCCCACGTCTGAGCCACTCTAAGTTTCTTCCTTCTCGCATTCACCAGACTGAGAGCTTCTTTGGTTCATGCACTGACAAACTCCTTTTCACCCCTCAAAACCCCACCTTGAATGTCCCTCGGCCCTTCCCAACCCAAAGACCTGGCCCCCCACTCTGGGCTCCTCCAGCCCCAGGTCCCTCCTTCTGGCACCACCCACATAGCTGGTGTCCTTACTTGCTCTAACCCTTCCCTGGCTGTCGAATGCCCTGAGAGTCAAGGCCTGGCCCTTTGTAACCAGGGCCCTGTCCTCCCCTCTCCAGCATTGCTGTCCCCCTTGAGCCAACAGAACATGTGCCACAATGAACTCGTCACTGCCTGGACTAACCAGGTCTATGGCCAGCCTCCGGGCCTCGGCTCTGTCCCCTCACCTCCTGCAAAGCCCACTAGCAGGCTCTCCCTGTCGGCCTGCCCAGATCTGACACAGGGCAAGGTCACGGAGGTGACAGCAGGGACTAAGTTCTTCTAGCACTGTCCAGAGACTTCCCCAGCTGAGGCTGGGAGGCCCAGAGAGGGGAAGTGACTTGCCTGGGGTTGCACAGTGGGCCGGGGGCCTCACAGAGTGGGGTAGGGGCAGAGACAGCCCAGTTTCATCACCCAAGCGGGGCCCGGGTAATTATAGCCCCAGCCACCACAGGCAGGCCCCGCTTACTCAATGCTCTAGTGTGACTCAGAGAGCCCCAGGCTCCCAGGCCTGGAGGGAGGTGGGGGCTGGGGCCCTGAGGGTGGGGGGTGGCAAAGAGAAAGCAGGTGGGTGGTGGGAGGAAGAGGCCTTGCCAAGAGCCCCTCTCTAGGCCTCAGTTTCCCTGACTGGCAGATGGGATCAGCCCTGGGTGAGGGTGGGGGTGGCCCAGAGTATTGCAAGTCAGAATGAAACTGAGCCTCAGGCCTGTGGTCAGGGGTGCCTGGGGGGCAGGGGTGCCACCAGCTTCAGTGGAGGGCGGGGTCTGGCCACTCAGCCTGATACCTCTCCAGGCCCTGGTTCTCTGGGTGTCCACTGAGCTGCCCCTCCCCAGCTCAGAGACCCCCAAGGGCTGGGCCTGCAGCTACCTCAGGACCCCTGCCTGGAGGAGGAGGGCACCCCCTAAGACCTCCAGAACCCCAATCCCACCAAAGGTGGGGGCCAGGCCACCAACCAGTCTGCCCGCCTCCCAGCCAGCACCCTTTGCCCCCTGCCTGGCACTCCTGGGCACCAGAGTCCAGGCCGCACCTTCTGCCCCTGGCTTGTTGGAGAGGGGACTGGGGGGCTGTGGAGGGGGCCAGCCCCCAGTTCCTGTCCCCACAGGGCAGGGCCAGGAAGCTGGGACAATGGCCTCTTTCTTCAGCCTTGGTGGGCGTGGCTGGGGGAACCCCAGGGAGGGCGGGGGGCAGAGGGGTAATGCTGAGTCACCTCTGCCTGCTAGCAAACCCCCACCCCACCCCCACCCCCAGCGGCCTGGCCCGCCCTGGGTCCACAAGGCCCAGCAGCCACTTCTGGACTCTTAGGACCAAACCACAAACTCTTCCCAACCTGGCCTTTAACTCCCAGATCCCTTTTCTTCCACTGGCTGTGGTGATCCCCCAAGCTGAACCAGCCCCAGGGCCTTTGCACTGACCCTTCCCTCCACGAGCTACGCCCTTTCCCACACCTCCCTCCCCGGCCTTCTTTGTGTCTCAGCTCAAATGTCACCATCTCTGCAGGGCCTCAATGGGCCCCAGTACCTAGAACACGGCCTGGCACCCAGCAGGAGCTTAATAAACATCGGCTGAATGAAGCAAATCACCTAGGCTCACAGAAGACCTAAAAGCAAGTCCACAGCCAGAACTCCTGCTCCCTAAGGGACTGTCACCCTCTTCCAAAGCAAAAAAGAAAGATCCCCTTCAGTGCGGCAGAGAACCACTGCCTGAAAAAGCAGCAGCTTTCTTCCCAACCTCCTCCCGGCTCAGCACCAAGCTCTCTCTCACATCTGTGCTGTCCCCCACTGGGACGTCAGCCCACAAGGGCAGGGACTGGTCTGTGTTGTCCTAGAGAGGCACACTGCGGGTAAGGGGATGCCCCAAACTGCAGGAGTGATTCTGCGTCAGGGAAGCATAGGCTTCCCTAGAGGTAGGACGTGCGTGCGTTTGCAGAGGGGAGGGGTGGGTGTGTGGCTGCAGTTTGGGCAGGGGTCCCCTGGACGCCGCCCCGCACCCCCTCAGCGCCACAGCTCACCTGGTGAAGCGGACCTTGCAAATGTTGCACTCGTAGGGCTTCTCGCCCGTGTGGGTGCGGATGTGCCGCGGCAGCTTGCCCGCGCCCTGGATCACCTTCTCGCAGATGGGGCACTTCTGGAAGGCCTTGGCGCGGATCTTTTTCTCCACCTTCTGCGACCAAGCTGGGTAGACGTCGCCGTCGTGGGCGCCGCTGAAGTACTTCAGATAGTAGTCCATGACGCCCTTGTCGTCCGCCCGCGACTCCTCGTCGCTGTCCCCCGCCGCCGCGGCCCCCGCCCGGCCCACCGACGACATCATCTGCTGCAGCAGCGTGCTGGCCGCCAGCCCGTCCACTTCAGGCCCGTCCCCGTCCTCGCCCTCGGCTGCGCCCGACAGGAAGCCTGGCGAGTCACCTGGCTCGGGGGCTGCTTCCGACAGTGAGGCCACCTCCTCCTCCCCGCCCCGGCCGTAGTGGCCATTCTGGGTGGTGGCTGGTGGGGCCACCGGGGGCGGGAAGAGACCCCCGGCGGGGGCATCCTCATCCCTCTCTGGCCAGAGACCTGGGTTGCTGTCGCCCTCATCCCCATCCCCCGTCGGGGGACGCTCGGCTGGGGGGCCCGGCCCGTAGAAATCCAAGCCGTTGCAATCACCGGCGGCCACGGCAGCCACAGCGGCGGCCACAGCCTCTTTGGTGGCATCCAGGTCATCATCAGACGTGCCAAAGGCAGACCATGGGAAGTTGGTGGCGGTGGCCGTGGGGGGCAGGCTGTTCATGGGGTTGCTCTGGAAGAACTCGAGGTACTCCTTGGCGCGGAGGAGGTTGCGCTGATCCATTTGATCCACCAGGTCCAGCTGCCCAGCGTCGGTGCCCGCGTCGGCCGCCAGGATCTGCCGGTCCAGGAGGTCGGCGCACACGTGGCTCACGGCGGGGATCTCCAGCAGGCGGGCGGCACTGAGGATGTCGCCCACGTTGGCCGTGCTGACGGTGAGCGTGGCCGTGTAGGCGAAGTCCATGAGCGCGGTGAGCGCCTCGGCGCTGACGAAGTCGATCTCGTACACGTTCTGCTGGTCCACCACAGCGCCCGACGTGAACAGCTTCTTGAAGTACTGGCTGCAGGCGGCCAGCACGGAGCGGTGCGTGGGGAACTCTCGGCCCTCCACCAGGATCACCACGTCGCACAGCAGCCCCTGCGTCCGCTGCTCGTTCAGCCCGCTCAGGATGTCACTGCTGTGGTCGGGGAACGGGATCCCGATGGGGCCGTCCACGCCGCCGGCCATCTTCCGCGCCGAGACCTGCAACACCAGGGAGGAAGGGGATGCTCGTGAGTGGGACAGTCCCTGTGTCCACCGACTGGGGCTCGAGACCCTTAGGAAGAAGCACCCCAGTCTGCCCCCAGCCTTGGTTTCCCCAGCTGTGCGAGAGGGCAGTCAGATGCCCTGCCCCCAGCCTCAGTTTCTCCAGCTGTGTGAGGGCAGTCAGATGCCTTGACCCCCAGCCTCAGTTTCCCCAGCTGTGCGAGAGGGCAGTCAGGTGTCCTGTTCTGTCTTATCGACATGGGATCATGCTGGCAGAAGCCACATCAGGTGGTTGAGAGAGGCACACACGTTGTTGGTATCTCCCCTTCACCAGGGAGCCCCACAGGAATGCCCACCGAAGAGGTGGTATGAGGTGTCCCAGGAGCACATAGTAGGTCTCAAGAAGCACGCACTGATGCTAGTTGTTTTCCTCCTAAATGGCACGCAGGTTTCTGCCGACACAGAGGCCACATGGGGATGTTTACAAAGCACCCACTTCGAGCTGGTAATGCCCACACTCCTGCCAGGCTGGCGAGCAGCACCCTCTCCACTGAGGAGGGGATGGGGGAGGGGAGGTCACCTGCCGAGGGCCCACAGTGAAGACAGCTGTGTCAGAATCCAAACCCGGGCCCCTCTGTCTCCTGGACCCTCGCTCCTGCCTGCCAGTTGGCCCTGTTCTCTTCAGGAAGGGGCAGGGCCAAGGCCAGAGGACCCAGGGCTCTCACTGGGCCGGGGTCAAGGGTACCATGGGTGTGCCCTGTTGGGGCAGAGCTGGTGACTCCATGGGACAAAACCCTTCCTGTCCCGTGAGCCCCCAGGATGGGGCTCGGCCCTGGCAGTGAGTAACAGGGGAAACCAAGCCATCGCTCCCAAGGAGGACCAAGGAGCCAAGGGCCTCCTGTCCACTCCTTGTCTGTCCACAGCCTTTCCCCAGGCAGCCCCTCCCCAACTCTTGGCCACCCAGGCTGTGCTGTTCAGACCAGGGCAAGGCCCTGGCGCTTTCGGGGCCTCAGTCTCCCCATCCGTCAAATGGGCAGAGGGCTTAGGAAAAGCTGGGCCCTGGGGGACTCCGTCTGTCCCAGCCCTCTCTCTCTGCCCCCCTCCTTTTTTCCGCCTTCCCCCGGCTGTGACTCATCCACCCACTCAGGCGTTTGTGCAACCCTATGGCTCCTGTCCCCACCCCTCCATCCTCTCCAGGGAGCCCCTGGCTGCCCCGAGCCACCCAACACAACCCACATTCCTCCGGGCCCGGCCGGCTCTCGGGCCAGGGCCCTGTACAACATCCCTGGATTGAGCTAGGCCTTCCTCGCCCTCCTAAGCATCAGGAGACCCTCCTGCACCCCTGAGTGGCCCAGTCCAGCTCTGACCCAGATGTGTTTGCGTTGGGCCTGGCAAGGGAAGCCCAGCGTCGATCTGGCTGGACCCAATGCCACAGCGGGTCTCTCCTGACCAAGGGCGGCCCTGAGAGCAGGGCCTGGGCAGACACAGAGGCCTCTGTGCGCCTGCTCAGTCGCCACACTTCCCAGGACGCTCTCTCCGCGGTCCCCCTCAGCCCGCCCCCCATCCCCACCCTCCAGCCCTCTTTCCCGGGCCTACCAGGCCCAGGCTCCAGCTGCTCAGCCTGTGGAGGGTGGGGGGGGGCTCAGATGTGGCTGCTGGGAGCAGGGGGGCTGACCCCATCCAAGGCATGGCCACGGGAAGCTCAGAGGAGCCTCCTTTGGCGGCTTCCACCCCCTGCCACCATCTGCCGTCTGGCCTCAGGCCTCAGGGCTCGTGTAGGCAGATGGGGCTGGGATCAGACAGGCCCGGCCCCTCCTGGCCCCCTGCCCCCCACACAGGAGGGAGGTGACCTCTGACCTAGGCCTGCAGTGTCCCAAGATGGCCACCCCAGTCCTTCTGTTCTCTCTGAGGTGATCCAGGGTCCCCCAGGAATGGCTCAGGGGTGTCTCTGGGGGCTTCGGGGTTAGGACCTAAAATGGCCCAGGTGACTCACCCTCCCAGTGGCTCCTCCACCCCCTCCCAGCAGCACCACCCTGGCTTCCCACCAGGCGCTGAGTGCACGGGGCCAGGGGCTGCCACAGCCCTATTTTAAGTGTGGCTATACCCAGGCTCTGGGTGGCGGTGGGGCCCCTGGGTCTTGGCTGGATCTGAGGGTCCGTGTTTTTGCTTTCTCCCACCTGGGGCCCTCTCTGAGGCTTCAATTCCCCCAAATATCATCGGAGACCCTCTCACCCAAAGGCCAGGCCTGGGGAGATGCCACCTAAGGAAAGCCCCCAAGAGAGTCCATGGTCCCCCATTTTACAGATGAGAAAAACAAGGACCAGAGAGAGCTAGACTCCTGGCCAAGGGTGTCCAGCAAGGCTGGTCCATAGGACGTAAAGGTGGGGCTGGTCCCCTCTTACCACCTGGAGCTCTGGAAACTAAAATCCTTGTATAGACAACTGACCCACCCCCTCTCTCTCCAGGAACACAGGCCATCTGCTTAACACACCTTAGGCCACTGCCCCACCCAGGCCTCTTGGAGGCCTACCCCTAAGCATAGGGCCAGAGACCCTGATTTCGAGGAGGGAGAGGGTCCCAGCCAGAGCCCCCTCAGGGTGTCGTGAAATCCCAGCGACAGAAAGCCCTGGCATGCTGAGGACCCACTGTGCGCCCCGGCCGCTTCTCGGAGGTTCAGGTGGCACCTGCTGCAGAGTAGGTGCCCCTGTACGTGGAGGTTTCGTTCCCCTTGTCCATGCAGGCCAAGTCCCCACCCCAGGGCCGGGGTCCTGAGCTCACGCCCACCCCCAGGCCACTGTTTCATCACAGCTCCGCCCCCGCGCTCGCCTCCGTGAGATTTCCGGGCCCGGGTTGCGGTGCTGACTCGGCGGCTGAGGGGCAGGCCCTGGCAGGCCCCTCCTGGGCTGGAGGTGGGGCACCCTCCTCCCCCTGGGCCGCTCCCAGGCCCCCCGAGCCCGGCCCTCCCAGGTTGGCGCACAGTAGGGGCGCAGCCAATGACCTGATGAACCGTGGGCTGCAGAGGCCCTCGCCTGTCCCCACCCTGGGCTGGCGGGCACACCCAGTATCAGGGGACTACTGTGCAGCCTGCTGGTCCCACCTCCTGTCTAACCTCGGGTCACTTGCTATAGCTTTTCTTGAAGGCAACTGGACCTGGGCCTTATTTCGGCCCTTCTCTGTGCCTGGAACTTTTGGGAACTAACCGGGTACCTTCGTTTCATTCTCCCCACATCCCTGAGCTGCTCAGACAGGTGCCGAGACCCACCAGAGTCACATAGCAGACTGGCAGCGAGGTTGGCCAGGTCAGGACTCGGACCTTCTGACCTGAGCTGCTGCCACTCCCCAACTGCTGGGGACACCCATGAGGACAAGAGCACCCTGGCGTGGCCCAAAGAGCAGTAGGTGTCACCAAGAAGGACACTGGGATCATGGCAAGGGTGCCCCGGTGAGGGCAGCAGCAAAGGCCTAGAGGTGGGCCTAGAAAGAGGACGGGGGAAGGAGGCTGGTGTGTTCCCAGAGCAGGGAAAGGGAGCCAGGGGCCTTCCCAAGGTCCCATGACAACGTGAGGGTTGGGGCCCGGCCTCCACCCACCCACACGCCTCAGGAAAGAGAAGGGGAAGCCAGCAAGGGGGTTTGGCAGGTAATTGCCACCCACCACCTTCCTGGAGGACATTTCGGGGGCGGGGGCCCGCTTAATGAGGGGTTCAGGGCCTCCCACCCTCCCGGGCCGCCTGTCACCTTGCCCGCCAGCCCCCACCCACTCTGCAGGAAAGGAGACGAAAGAATGGACCTCTTACACCTACTGTGTGCCACGCAGAGCAGTGCAGATTCAAGTCCCAGCTCCTTCCTCCACTTGCTGCATGACCTTGGGTGAGGCAATGCCTGAGCCTTGGTTTCCTCGGGAGTGCAGGGATGGGCTCATGACAGTAAAAATGGGGCCCCTCTATGACCATGGATCACAAGGACAGAGTCCTGCTTACATCCATTCAGCAAACATTGCCTGAGGACCTACTGTGTGCCAAAGCCAGTCTCCAAAAGGCCCAGCCAGGCTGTACCCCTTATGGACGGCAGGGGTGGGCTATTTAAACTTCACTTCTGAATATTAACTCCAGGAATCCAGGCCCTTCCCCACCCACTATATGCCAAGGGAATGGGTGGTGGGCCATGATGAGGAAGCTGGAGGGGAAAACCAGGCCCAGAGAGGGTGGGCGGCCAGCCCAAGGTCACACAGCAAGCCTGGCGTGCAGGTGAGGCTGCCAGGTCCGCACCCAGTGGTCCCCGCCCCCTCCCAGCCCAGTGGCCTGTGTTGCAAGGTTGGTCCCGATGTGTTACCCCGCCCTGACCTGGTGCCAATCCCCGCCTGGCCCTGCACCCAGCCCGGATTTAAGGGACAAGCATGCAGTGTCCCAACTGAGGGGTACCAACGGCCCAGGATGGCTGCCAGCCTGCTCCCTGCCCCCTGCCCGCCTGCCCTCACAGGCAGGCCAGACTCTGAGCAAACAGGCCCTCGGCCATTTTACATGACCATTTATTGCCCTAAATGGGGAGGGGCTTCCTGCCCGGGCCTTAAAGGGCCAGAGGCAGGAAGGCTTCAGGCCCAGTGCAAGTGGAGGGGGGCACAGGGCAGGGATGAGGAGGCAATGGGGATCCCATCTGACCCCCAACTCATGGGTGGCGCCGAGGCCCACCCTGTTCCCACGCTCTGAATGCCATCAGAGGCCAGGAAGCCCAGGCCCAAGACCAAGGCTGGGTTCCAAGAGGAAGCCTCGGGAAGCCGGAGCCATCCACAACAGCAGTGCAAGCAATGAGCTTCCCGTCACCAGGGGTGACCAAAGCCAGACTGCGCAGAATCCCACCACCGTCCACCTCGCCCACAGCTCAGGCTGTGCCTACTGTCCAGGATGCCCATGAGAGACCTTGGGGGCCTCTGAGAGCTGCCACCTCTACCTTCAGACCTCTTTCCCTCCCCTGAGGGGGGCCACTTGTCACCTGCTGG